GGACCAGGGCGAACGGCCTTGGTGTAAATCCAACAAAGACGGAACTGGTAATGTTCCCCAGTAACTGGTAATGTTCCCACTAACACTGGATGGAGTGCAACTTCACCTATCTCCTGAAACAAAGTACCTCGGCACAATCCTGGACTGGAACGCTGAGGAACGGGCGAAGAGAGGACTGATTGCACTCTATGCATGCAAGAACTGCATTGGGAAAAGCTGGGGACTAAAACCATCGACTATACACTGGTTGTATAACGCCGTAGTGTTATATATGCCCATCCTATCCTCTTGTGTGCTGGAACTGTCTGCGCCACAAGTCGACATCCAGTAAATTAGATAAGGTACAAAGAGCCGCCTCGGTTTTAGTTACAGGAGCCAGGAGGAGTACGCCACAAGCAGCTCGGGACGCAATGCTGAATTTTAGGCCCCTGGGCCTAAGCATTAAGTGTCAGGCCGCGCGTAGCGCCCTAAAGCTGCATGAACCAAGCCTATGTTGAACGAGCTAGGTATGACATTGGACCAACGCGTAAAAATAAGCGACTATATATCACCAGTCATGAGATTTGACGATGTAGATGTCGTTATTTCTAGTAGAGACGATTAGAACCGAAGTAACCCTCCTCTGGACGGTCTGACATTCTATACAGAAGAAGGTACAGGGGCGGGCGTCTACTGTGAAAGGCTAGGTCTTGAGTTAACATACAAGCTGGATTGTAACTGTGTTGTTTTCCAAGCTGAAATCTTCGCAAATTTGCAGGACAGCTGAATTGAAAAAAAAAGTCTGCAGAGGTCGTTGAACCGGTGACAATCCATCAAATCTTGTTATATCAAATCTGAGGCCGTCCTCAAGTGTAGAACAGCTTTGGAAGAACTTACAGCTATCGGTTGTGTTGGTTACCAGGACATGGGTAATGAAAGAGCAGATGAACTAGCTAGACGAGGATCTCAATCCACAGATCTAGCAAATGATGACTCAATCAAACCACCCGTATGTCATCTTTACCGGAACTTTGAGGCGTTCTTCGACGAAAGAGCCTATGAACTTTGGCACAACGAACCTAGGTGCAACGTGTCAAGATCCATTTGGCCGACTCTGGCACTCACTATTGAACCTGAGCAAAGCTGAAATAAGAGTAATGACAGGAATCATTACTGGTCATTGCAATATCAGGGCCTTTACTTGTAAATGTGTTCTTGATGCAATTGATTACTGTAGACTTGCGTTGACGAAGAGGAGACTTCTTCTGTGTCACTGTCCAACAGGCGGCACAAACTAGTGGGTGCTCGAATCTTGTTGTGTTGATCTCTGTTATTCCAATCTTACCTTCTTATATCTGTCTGAAGCTTCTTATCTCTCTTTATTTCCCCAATCTTCTCTCCTCTATAGATCTGTATCTCTTTTCTTCTCATGGATGATCACAACGGAACTAGCTAGAGTGCAGCAGCCACATAAGTGACTGCACATCAAACCTCCTATTAAATAGTGCGCAACAGTTTATATGGCGTCTATGTCAATTGACCTTATGGCATTTCTTTTTAGTAACAACCCATTTTAAGCCTTGGAAAATCCATTTAAGGGAACCCCACCCATTCTCGATTTTAATTTTTCAAGAATTTCAATGGGCTGATAAATCAATACTAATGCTTGTTAAGGTATGTAACTTTGCACATATATTTGAAGATTTAAAAGAGAAGAAAAATAGTTTTCCAAAAACTTTGAGGCGTTCTTCGACGAAAGAGCCTATGAACTTTGGCACAACGAACCTAGGTGCAACGTGCCAAGATCCATTTGGCCGACTCTGGCACTCACTATTGAACCTGAGCAAAGCTGAAATAAGAGTAATGACAGGAATAATTACTGGTCATTGCAATATCAGGGCCTTTACTAGTAAATGGGATCTTGATGCAATTGATTATTGTAGACACTGCGTTGACGAGGAGGAGACGGAGACAATTGAGCATCTTCTGTGTCACGGTCCAGCCCTGGCTTACAGGCGGCACAAACTAGTGGGTGCTCATTTTCCACCGAATCTTGAACCTTGACACGTAATATATCTCCTGTCTGATCTCTGTTATTCCAATCTTACCTTCTTATATCTGTCTGTAAGCTTCTTATCTCTCTTTATTTCCCCAATCTTCTCTCCCCTATAGATCTGTCCTTATCTCTTTTCTTCTCATGGATGATCACAACGGACCTAATGGTCTCAGAGTGCAGCAGCCACATAAGTGACTGCACATCCCCAAACCTAACCTATTAAATAGTGCGCAACAGTTTATATGGCGTCTATGTCAATACATCGACCTTATGACATTTCTTTTTAGTAACAACCCCTTTTAAGCCTTGGAAAATCCATTTAAGGGAACCCCACCCATTCTCGATTTTAATTTTTCAAGAATTTCAATGGGCTGATAAATCAATACCAATGCTTGTTAAGGTATGTAACTTTGCACATATATATTTGAAGATTTAAAAGAGAAGAAAAATATTTTTCCAAAAATGTTTGTTATTGTTTTGTTGTTGTTTTTTGTAATTAAAGAAAAGTCCTTATTTTTGATGGCGGGCATGATAACTCCTCACTGGAACATCGGAATCTTCCAACGGTGTTAGAAAGAATACATGTCTGGAACATTATTGATTTCGGAATTTTTTACAGAAAAAATGCTGCTAAATACAAAATGCTGACCTTTAAAATCCCTATAATGCGGCGACACAATGGCTAAATCGATATAGAATTATATAACCATAATTTTAATATATCTTATTTTACGTATGGTATAGGGTATAAACAAATGAAAATGGAAATAAATCACATTTTGGAGACCATGCAGTTCAGTTGGGCCTCAAATATACCCAGAAAACAAGATCTATAAGGAATGGAAATCGTCTTTGCCACTACTTCCTTTTTCAGACTTTGCAACTCCACGCCAAATTACAGAGGCCAAGATGTTTGGAACTTAAAAATTTCCAAAAACCTACGTCTAAAAGGAGTTTAAGTCTTCATTGCAACTACTTCGGAATTTGAGGTAAAACAAAATCCAAGTTCAAGTCGAAGTCTAGTTCAAAATTGTTTAACTTCGCAGACCTAGTCGCAGCAATCATCCCACATTTTAGAGACCTGAGAATTCTATTTGAAATGGATTTCTTCATCATATGTACACTTCGGAGTCTGTCAGCTTGATGTTGATGTGAGTTGTGTTTAAGGGAACTCCCCCCCCTACTCGATTTTTTTATTTTTAAGATTTTAAATGAGCTGGTAATTGAATACCAATGCACGTTAAGGTTTGTAACTTTGCACATATATATTTGAAAATTTAATAAGGAAGAAAAATAATTTACAAAAAAATTGTGTTGTTGTTTTTTGTTATCAAAGAAATGTCCTTATTTTTAATGGTGGGCATGATAACTCCTCAATGGAACATCGGAATCCGAAAATTCCAACGGTGTTAGAAAGAGTACTTATCTGGCGTATGAACTAGGATTATTGGCTTCGCACAACAATTAACAAAATGGCGGAACTTGGATTTTTTGGTTTTTTTTGAAAAATACGATTGCTATACACTCACAGAAAAACGTTCCAAAATTTGAAATCAATTGCATTATTAGTTTTTGAGTTATCGTGCCCGCCATTCGCAAAAACGCTGTTTGGAGAAAAACGCGTTTAAAGTTTGAGAATCCCTCTTGCTGTCACCTGATGCTAACACAATAAATCGGCTATATCTTCCAAAATTGTTGAGATTTTCACTTGAACCTGTGAACCTGTTGGAACCTAAGAATACCTATAAACCTTGATCTATAAAGATATCATCGTTGCACCTACTTCAGAGTTTATCGCCTTCAAATATTTGTATCAATTTGTAGTTTGAGGGCGAAATACCTGGAATTCGCAGGCCATATAAGACCACTGAAGAGGTAGTGAACTAGCAACTCTGTACTAAAGGATATAACGATTACATCGAAGCACGAATAGAATAAAATAAAATCACAAAACCCCCAAAAAACCAAAGTAGGCCGGCCGGGTTATATGCTGTCCCACTGCACTTGGCATATAAGAAATTGCATATAGGCTATTGAATCATTTTAACCAACCGCGCTTCCTTTTGAAGAAGTTATAGAACAGTTACAAAAATTAAAGCAATTAAAGCACAGCATAGAATTTTAAACAATATTTTTGAAAACATAAGGACTATTATTTTTAAAATAATTTATGTCTTCTTAAAGGACTATCAAAACTATTTATCTGAATTTAAAACAAAAATTCCATGAAGCGTTTTTTCCAATACACCCTTCACCCTGATGAAGGTAAACAAAACATGTTTTGCCCGCCACCAAAACAAAAAAATAATAATTTTCATCTTTGTTTCATATGCCTATTCATGACATGAATTTATGTATGTATGTATATTTTCCAAGAATATATTTTCGATCAGAAATTTTGTTTTAGTTCCTAATTAAATTACAAATACAAAAAAGTAATAAATTTAAGTAGATGATTGATGTATTCGAGAAGTGGTCAATAAAGAGATTTCTTTTTAAATAAAATAATACACATAAAGTTTGTTTGCCTAATACGAGTGTACAATACAATAAACCAAATTGTGGCAGTTTAATATCAATCTAAAATCCAATGATGAGATTCATTCTAAGTTTTAAAATAAAGTGTATATGTATATATAAATAAAATTTCAAAAAAAAAAATAGAAAATATTTAAAAAATATAAATATAGAAAAGTTAATGGCAATTTTCTCTATAATATAGGAATTATAGTTACAAGGATGGACTGCATAATGGAGGAGCCTTATGTATGATCTACATTACACATTGCAAAACAAAAAAACACACAAACTGACAAAAACAAACACTAAAGTATTTACACATACACAAAAAAAACGGAAAATACAGAGGACAAATAAAAGCCTCACAGCTCTGTTTGTCTTCGATTTTTTTAAAAAGGAAATCCTAAATAGTCCTGAACATTTGTTGTCTTTCTAAATAAATAAATACAAAATAATAAATAAAATATTTACACATTGGGATAAGTGGGCAATTTGGCCGTCTCCACCTTGTCAACAACTTTAAACGATGGAAACAGACCAACTTGATTGGTGCGTGTATTTTTCCCCTTGGAAAATCCGTCCCAGTGATTGCCAGCAACACCTACCAAATCTCCTGGTCGCAATTGTAATTCATCATGATTTCTAGCCTTGTGCGGTATAACAACTTGTCGATTATGTTGATTTTGTCCGCCATAATAATATATATCGTCCAGCGATTTAAAACGATGTCCTGCATCGGGATATAAAGTTTGCATTATTTCATATGCCACACGGCAAACTTGTGAACTAAAGGTGCACACTAAATAATCGGATATCGATAAGAGATGTATATCCAAGATAATGCCATTTAGACCGGTATCTGTGTAACGTGTGGAAACAGCTGCCATTCGTGCCACCTCAGCATCGCCAATTATCTCATATTGTGGATATTTTTTGCGTGCCTCATCGATAACACGGGCATCGTCCGATGCCAAAAATATACGTCTCGTCATACTCGTACCGTTAATCTCTTGTGTTAAATAATAATCCTCGACATGTGTCATGTATTCGTCAATACTGTGAAAAGCTGCCTCTGTACCTACCTTATCGGTTCGTCGAACATGGACGCTGAAAATTTTGAAATAAAATATTTATTTTAATGAAATGGTATTTAGATTAAAAACATAATGAATACGATATACTATTATTTGATTCTATATTGAATGTGACTCAGGTTTTAGGCTTACAACTGACAGAATATATCCTTTACAGAATGTTAACAATATAGTTAGGCGTATTAGAACAACAAATTTTAAATTTCGAAACTTTTGCCTTATAATGAAATTTTTTTAGTAACAACATCTTTTACGCCTTGGAGAATACATTTATGACCATTAAGATACCCAAAATGGCCCAGAGCTTTAAAAAGGCCGCAACCTAGATCTATTGCCTATATTCAAATTACTATGTGAGAACGCCCTTTACACTCTGGAAAATGCTTCAATGGTGGTTAAGATGCCCTAAAAGGGTCGGAACCATTAAAAGAGTATTAAGTCAAAATTTGGATTTATTTTGAAAATATCCAGTCAGTAGGTCTAAAAAGTATGTTGTGAATCTGAAATAGGACAATTCGTTTCCTTCTGGACACCAGAGGTTTTTACCTCCCTTTATCCCTTACAATTTTCTTTAAAGAAGAACCTTTTTAGTTTATTGATAATCCGAAAAAAGGTCAATTCATTTAGACGCCTTTCTACGGGCTCTCCTTCTGGCCGACTTCGACATTACTCAACCTCTTTGGCAATGGAATGGATGGTATCGAGGACATCTTAACATTCAGGCACCATATCAAAAATCATAATTTCTTAGAAGTCCTTGGCATAATTTTCCAGATTGTGCTCAGACTACTCACACTGTATCGGTTGTGTCCGAAGTAAAGATGGGGTTAGATGAGTGGGTATGACTAGGCCTGTTGATGGCTAGAGACTTTCTTTTGGACCTCTCTCTACATGTCATGAAGATCCTTCCTAACATGCCTTGCTTTTGGGTGGCTATCCATTAGATAATGATACGGATGGCTGCTTCTATAACACCCATTCAGGTATTGATTGTATCGACAACATCTTGTTGTGTTGAAGCAGAGGAAGGATCTTCGTCTCCTCATGTAAGTTGTCTATTAGAGGAGATGTCCTCAGGACGGCATTCTGGCAGGTTGAAGACGTTTCCATTGCACTAATGTTTGCGTACCACACTGGTGCCATAAGTTTACGACAGACCGGTTTATTTGTCAGCCCCCAAGTGCAGCGGCTAGAGAACCTTGTTCTTGATCTTATAGCGAAAGCTGTGGCATCTGCGGACTTATAAATCGTCCGCAGATGCCACAGCTTTCGCATGTGACCCCTATAACCTTGTGGTAATTGGTGTTCGGAATTGTGGACCCATCGACCTACATATTCAAAGGTAGCCGCATCTCCGCTGTCCATGTGGTAAACAGTTAGTTTCGGATATCCACGCCCGGAAAAAGTCTGCTATATCCAAAAGAAAATGGTTCAGCCTCTCGCAAATTTCATCAATTTTAAGACCTGACGCCATAATCATACAATTATCCGCGTAAGTTACGATCCTTATGCCATCCGGTGGGCGCTGAATTTTAGAAAGGTTCCGAAAATATCACCCCTCCTTGGGGAACCTTTTGTTTAACTCTACCGGCCTTTGACTTCCTGTTTCTGAATTCCACATACGACACACATATAATTCACGATCCAACAGTCTACACATATAATTCACGATTCAACGTTTCAAACTTAGCTGGAGGGTTGTTCTCTCGACGTCCTCGAACAACTTGGCGTGACTGACGGTATCGATTGCCTTCGAAAGGACCAACACCGTCATAAGTGTCCTATTACAAGGTCTGTTCTGGTTGAGTCCTTCCGTTATATGCGTGGAAATGACCCTGAAATTCTTTTCTGCTTCTCTGAAGCAACGATTGGTAAATTTCTTACTTCCCAGACTAAGTAACGGTGCCCCAGCTGTTTAACGACGGAATGTAAACGTTAAGCACATCTACCTCAGCGATACCACACTTGACCGCTACCCCCATACATTCCATGTATGGGTCATTAGAGTCTAGCTCAAGCGAGATGTCCTGTACAGAATGATTCAATAGGAATGCTAATCCTCCACCTCTCATACGATCCTTCCTTATGACGTGTCGTTTAGCTTCATTTCCTGGATCGCCGCAACCATAATAATTCTTCGATTCATAACATCCACTATCTCGTTGATTTTCCCTCGAAGTCAATCGCAGTTGAATTATAGTTTTTCTATATTAGGTTTTTGTGTGAGGATTTGAGGTCAGCCATGGCATATCCTCGTACCGTGGTACGGACATGATAACTAAGCCTAAAAATACTTCTTGAGGCGCTCAAGGTTCCATTCGAATACAGTTGGTACCCTGACACCAAACTGTAAAACATTGATGAACACGAGGTCGTCTAATATCCCAACTTTAGAGAGATCCCCTTCGGAACTCTGCCCCAAAATGTTTGTGAAGAATTTTTCTACGACTTTCAGTGTCATTATCTTAATAAAATATTTATTTTAATGAAATGGTATTTAGATTAAAAACATAATGAATACGATATACTATTATTATTTGATTCTATATTGAATGTGACTCAGGTTTTAGGCTTACAACTGACAGAATATATCCTTTACAGAATGTTAACAATATAGTTAGGCGTATTAGAACAACAAATTTTAAATTTCGAAACTTTTGCCTTATAATGAAATTTTTTTAGTAACAACATCTTTTACGCCTTGGAGAATACATTTATGACCATTAAGATACCCAAAATGGCCCAGAGCTTTAAAAAGGCCGCAACCTAGATCTATTGCCTATATTCAAATTACTATGTGAGAACGCCCTTTACACTCTGGAAAATGCTTCAATGGTGGTTAAGATGCCCTAAAAGGGTCGGAACCATTAAAAGAGTATTAAGTCAAAATTTGGATTTATTTTGAAAATATCCAGTCAGTAGGTCTAAAAAGTATGTTGTGAATCTGAAATAGGACAATTCGTTTCCTTCTGGACACCAGAGGTTTTTACCTCCCTTTATCCCTTACAATTTTCTTTAAAGAAGAACCTTTTTAGTTTATTGATAATCCGAAAAAAGGTCAATTCATTTAGACGCCTTTCTACGGGCTCTCCTTCTGGCCGACTTCGACATTACTCAACCTCTTTGGCAATGGAATGGATGGTATCGAGGACATCTTAACATTCAGGCACCATATCAAAAATCATAATTTCTTAGAAGTCCTTGGCATAATCCAGATTGTGCTCAGACTACTCACACTGTATCGGTTGTGTCCGAAGTAAAGATGGGGTTAGATGAGTGGGTATGACTAGGCCTGTTGATGGCTAGAGGCTTTCTTTTGGACCTCTCTCTACATGTCATGAAGATCCTTCCTAACATGCCTTGCTTTTGGGTGGCTATCCATTATATAATGATACGGATGGCTGCTTCTATAACACCCATTCAGGTATTGATTGTATCGACAACATCTTGTTGTGTTGAAGCAGAGGAAGGATCTTCGTCTCCTCATGTAAGTTGTCTATTAGAGGAGATGTCCTCAGGACGGCATTCTGGCAGGTTGAAGACGTTTCCATTGCACTAATGTTTGCGTACCACACTGGTGCCATAAGTTTACGACAAACCGGTTTATTTGTCAGCCCCCAAGTGCAGCGGCTAGAGAACCTTGTTCTTGATCTTATAGCGAAAGCTGTGGCATCTGCGGACTTATAAATCGTCCGCAGATGCCACAGCTTTCGCATGTGACCCCTATAACCTTGTGGTAATTGGTGTTCGGAATTGTGGACCCATCGACCTACATATTCAAAGGTAGCCGCATCTCCGCTGTCCATGTGGTAAACAGTTAGTTTCGGATATCCACGCCCGGAAAAAGTCTGCTATATCCAAAAGAAAATGGTTCAGCCTCTCGCAAATTTCATCAATTTTAAGACCTGACGCCATAATCATACAATTATCCGCGTAAGTTACGATCCTTATGCCATCCGGTGGGCGCTGAATTTTAGAAAGGTTCCGAAAATATCACCCCTCCTTGGGGAACCTTTTGTTTAACTCTACCGGCCTTTGACTTCCTGTTTCTGAATTCCACATACGACACACATATAATTCACGATCCAACAGTCTACACATATAATTCACGATTCAACGTTTCAAACTTAGCTGGAGGGTTGTTCTCTCGGCGTCCTCGAACAACTTGGCGTGACTGACGGTATCGATTGCCTTCGAAAGGACCAACACCGTCATAAGTGTCCTATTACAAGGTCTGTTCTTGTTGAGTCCTTCCGTTATATGCGTGGAAATGACCCTGAAATTCTTTTCTGCTTCTCTGAAGCAACGATTGGTAAATTTCTTACTTCCCAGACTAAGTAACGGTGCCCCAGCTGTTTAACGACGGAATGTAAACGTTAAGCACATCTACCTCAGCGATACCACACTTGACCGCTACCCCCATACATTCCATGTATGGGTCATTAGAGTCTAGCTCAAGCGAGATGTCCTGTACAGAATGATTCAATAGGAATGCTAATCCTCCACCTCTCATACGATCCTTCCTTATGACGTGTCGTTCAGCTTCATTTCCTGGATCGCCGCAACCATAATAATTCTTCGATTCATAACATCCACTATCTCGTTGATTTTCCCTCGAAGTCAATCGCAGTTGAATTATAGTTTTTCTATATTAGGTTTTTGTGTGAGGATTTGAGGTCAGCCATGGCATATCCTCGTACCGTGGTACGGACATGATAACTAAGCCTAAAAATACTTCTTGAGGCGCTCAAGGTTCCATTCGAATACAGTTGGTACCCTGACACCAAACTGTAAAACATTGATGAACACGAGGTCGTCTAATATCCCAACTTTAGAGAGATCCCCTTCGGAACTCTGCCCCAAAATGTTTGTGAAGAATTTTTCTACGACTTTCAGTGTCATTATCTTATTGTCTTTTCTAGATTCATTCAATTCTTAGCGCTTATTTTAAATATATTTGATTGAATATTTGAGCTTCAGATATGAAATGAGAAAAAAATGTATCAACCGCTATCAATAATTTCTTCAATGATAATGTGAAATAGGTTACACATTTCAAATATTTATGTGTCGTAATTGATAAGGAACTATCAGTACATTTGACATTGTTCTGCAATTATGTGGTACAATCGATAAACATAGAAACAAAGCGTACATCAATGTTTACAGAAGATATAGAAATATGAACTACATTTGCCTTTGAGCGGAAAATTACATTTGCAATGTCCCACTTTTTTTATATTTAGTTGTTTGCACTAAAAGTGGCATTGGAATCTAGACCTTGGTTCTTGTGTTTCTCTTCAATTATTAATAAAAAATCAATTATTCATTTTTCTCAAACTTACCCAACAATAGGTTTCTTCCAACCCAACTTGGCCATGCTATTTTCCAAAAATTCCTGTGTACCCTTCTGTGGCCGAAGTAAGTACTTTAAAAATTGTCCTACCCACCAGACAATCGGTTCACTGTGTAAACGTTTTAGTCGATGTGAAATATCTTCAGGTATTGCCAGCGGTAAATATGGTGGTCGTGGCATTAGCGAATCTATAATTGGCAATACCAAAACTTGAGATTCTGGTCTACCGGGCCAGTTATTAGCCCTAGCTGGTCCAATGTCTAGACAAGAATCTGATACAGGTTGAAAAACCTCTTCCCAGCCACCTTTGTGATAACGCCAACCTTTCGATTTCAGTATCAATGTACGTTCGGTGGCATAGGCGACTATGAAACAATATACTGCATGATGTAGCTGACAACCATAACCACATCCCTTATTCAATTTGCATACTAATTTCTTGGCTTTCGAACAGTCGGTTGGATTTTGTAAATATCTCAAACGTCTCTGTACTAAATCACTTAAATCTTTAGCTTCCTGATGACGCCATGCCTCATAACCGTCCAATTGGCGCAGACGTTCCATATCACTGAGCAATGAACGTTTGTGTTCAGCTCCCATTATTAATACACTGTTAATATCTTCTTTCATATTCGGATCAACTTGTTTTCGTATTTTCCCCAGTTCGTTGCTAAAGAAATTCCATATTTCGGCAATGTTTGTTTGAATACGCCTTCGTAGTAATTCATATTCCAATGTTGGTTCATTTGATGGACTACCAAATGGTTGGGGTACATCTGGTTTCGATTCTATGCCTAAGGGATTTTTTATATTGTATTCCAATTTTTGTATTAGCCTCTGTGCTGATTGTTTATCCACGCGGTCATCACTGAAAAGAGAGAGAAAATTAAATATGTAATGAAAATTAAATATTAATTCTTGTTGAATTAATTTTTGTTTTTTAAATTTTATGAGATTTTACTTAGATATAGGAAAAAAAAGGTTTTAGCCAAATTTTGAATAGAATTTGATGAACGAGAAAATCTAGTTGAGGCATGGATTTTTAAAATATTTTTTGAACGACTATCAAAGCTATTAGATTGGCTTTTTATCATTTTTTTAAACGACTGCCGTGGGGTTTAATGTCCATATTTTTTGAACGACTATCAGTGCTACTTGTGCCGATTCTTAAATATGATATACAAGATGTGCAAAAAAATTAGTTGAATATCTCGTTCATATTCCAATGGAGAAGCTTTAAAATTTCCGTTGTTCCTTGTAAGGCCTAAATCAATTGAAAAAAACATATTCTGCTAAATCGATTTATGCCTGCCTTGCAGCAAATTAGCGATATGTTGATACCCAGGGGGCTGGTCAATCAATTCGCGGTCTATAAATGATGTTCATGTATTATTCCAAATCGTCAATCTTTGTTAGGTACCAGACTATATTGAAATTATCGAGTCTGTTAGACCACTTATTAACTACTAAATTGAAAAAATCCACCAGAATTCTTAGAAGAGCCTGTGTGAAGACCACCTTACTACTCTTTTGGACGGAATTTTCACGATACAGATCATAAAATGTCACTACAGACTTGGATTTCTCAGCTCCATTTGAGATGTAAATGGTGAGCATTATTTCGTTTATGTGAACCTGAGTAGGATTTGGAAAATTCAAATTCCACATGGTCTTGACAAATTTGGGTAAAACTATCGTTTAAGGTCCGGTGGCGGATAGTTTTGAAATTTCCTCTGGAACCTTTGTATTCTAAGGCAATAAGGGTTCAATTTGAAGTCGTTGAAATGCTGATTGCGAATATTCTATAATATTTGATTAAAAACTGTAATTGTATAATTTTCTATTAACAATTTGATTCAGTCAAGGGATTTGTCCATAGGAGAAAATCAACCTACAAAAAATAAAACGATATTTTATTGCGTGACCGGTGTTGGTACCTGTCCAAAGAAGAAATTTTTCAATCATCCGTCGAAGGGCGACCAAAAACTATGCTATTTTGGCAACATAGGAGAAAGTATATAAGGGTCACGGTGGAATATTGGAATAAGGATGTATTAAACACTCCAAACAACTTCAAATAATTAGTTGGTACTCGAATTTTAAAAGTCATGAACAAATATATATCTTTGCGGAACTTTGGAGCATGGATTTCCACAGATATCATTGTTACCAAGACTTCAAAACTATCCTCGGCCGGGCTTTCAATAAGTATTGTTCCTCTAAATCTAACTCTTCTTTTTCTATCAAAAAATAAACATTGATAAAATAAAAATCATATATTAAATATACTCACTTCAGCAGGGTATCAATCATTTCTTGTAGCTCCTGATTTCGCTGGCGTGATGCTTCCAACAACTGCAATGCTTGATTGATACGTTTCGAAGTGTTGTCAGGTTCCTCGGTAGATGGCGGATTTAATTTGGTTACAAAAACATAGACAAGAAAAGCCCATGCTAAACAGAATATAATAAGGGCACGAACCCATGTATTCGATGAGGAACCAAAAAACTGACGTAGTAATGACATTGCGGATTGCTATGATAATATTGCATATACTTGTTGTTGTTGGAGTGGTTCGGTTTGATTTGTTGGTAGTTAAGGTTTTGAATTGCTATACAAAAAAAAGTAACGTGTTTAGCTGATACTTTGTGGATAATGGTTTCTGGTCTGATGATGGTCGAGCTTGTTGTGGTGGTTGTGGCAGTAATTGACAAAACGTTTCCAGCTGCGGTTTGTGTGTGAGGTTTATTTTTAAAAATACTGTATCCAAAATTGCATATGAAAAAGCCTCCGTTATCTTCTATCTGCAAAATAAAACAAAACATGATTACAAAAAAGTTAGCTATACATTTAAAATCGCGTTGACGTTACGCTTTGATTATTTTTAGAACAAAAAAATATTTTAAATTACAATTAAAAATGTGTGCTTAATTGTTGTCGGCGTTGTTGTTGCTGTTCTAGTGCTACTGCTGCCAGTAAATCTGGAAACAAATCTTTTGTTTTAGTTTTCATCCCCTTGATACGAAAACTAAACTATTACACGATTAATAAATATGTATATGAATGTAGGTCTGTTAGTAGGAGGCAGTGTTTAACTGATAACACATCGCACAAAACGCCTCTGATTTGATTTTTTGTACTCAATCCGCGTTTTTTTCTTTTTTTTTGTGGAATGTAAACAATGTTCTGCTGATCGCCACTGCTCTAATTGGTTGGTTCTTTATTTTCTATGGTGGCGAGCTCTCAATGTATCCTGCTTAGAAACACAATTGTAGGTAATGGCGGTGGTTTTGTATGTCGAGTTGTGGAAGCGGTTGAGGGGGTTGTTGTTTAGATTCTAAACACAGGAAAGTAGAAGCAGCATTGCAAAACAAAGAGTACATTAACCCGTATATCGAATAAATTATGGATATGCTTTTGAGCCTATACATATCGCAAAGGCTGAAGATCTTTGTTCCAATCGCAAATACAGAATTCAAGGTCTTTAGGTTTGAAGTTAGTTCAAAATTTGTTTTTGCAAAAACCCTTGCCGTTTTGACGTGTACATTACGACAAATATTTACTTGTACCGCCTCCTTCACATTGCCAGCCACTCATAACAAAGCCCTTCTCATACGGTGGTGTAGGTAGGGCGCTTTTCATTTGATTTTCCGCAATGTAAATAAAAAATGACATACCGCTCGCGTACACAAACACCCACACATACAATGAGAATAAACAAATCAAAATTATTATTATTATTTTGTTTTGTTCTATGCGAGAGTGAGAACACACAAAACAGCCAACGACGACGTCGACTGATTGACTTACCACAAAAAATGCCACAAATCACAAGTTGTCCATGCATCCACCAGCAATCGAATTCTTCTTCATTATTTTGTTGGCTGTTGTATGTCGTTTATTACCTTATTAACTGTTTCCTTGGATTTTGCACAATTTCTCTCCTTTTACATCATTATTAGTATTTATAGAATCTTTATTTTCAAAGTTTTCATTGAATTTCATTCAATGTTTAGGCTGAATGACTCCGACGGGCTGGCTGTTTGTCTGAATGTTGATGTATGTATGTATCGATGTAATCGAATGAACCAACCGTATTAAAAAACGTTCCACATGCTACGAATAAAGGGAGACAGCCGAAAACGACTGCTAGAAACTAACTCAAAAGAAAATGGAGAATAAGCAGGTATTGTTTACGAATGAGGGTGATGCATAATGCTGATATAAAAGGAGAGAAAATCAGCTGATGTATTTCGATTAATGGACTTTTCGATAAGTCGTTTCTTTTGGTCTGTTCCCGTACTGCAATAATCTACTAATTTTTACTATTTTCTTCGATATCACAAAGGGAAAATTGTTATCGTATGTAGTAAAAAATTTTACATTCTTGCAGGTTTTGGCATGACACAATGAATAGGTAGTCCATTTAGCACAGCTGATGTCTTGATTAACTGTCAAAATTTGTAATTTCTACTTGAATTCGATGTGTAGTGTTGCCAACCATGTGCAATATTTGGATTAAATCAAGATCTATTAATAAGGTCACCAAGATAGCAATCGAAATCGGAAAACAGCTGTTTTTTCTCAAGTCTAATGTCAAAAATTTCGACTTTGTTTACGTTTTCATAATGGAAGTCAATTCACAATAATGTATTTTGACAGCAAACATGAGAGGTATCGATAATCAGCTGGTCTCCCTTGGTGACCTTATTTATAGGCCATGGATTAAATATAACCAATTTTTATAATAGAAGAAAGTCTTAAGAGGAGTACAAATAATCATTTTGGACTGTCAGCAAGAGTGCCATTGAAAAGTGATAGTGTGTACACCGCAGTAAGCGGAGTACACACTAACATTAGCTTTTTTATCGATTGCTGACAGTCCAACAACCATGGATATGTACGTTACCGGCAATTACCAATAAAATTTAAACACATATTTCTCAAATTAAAATAAAAAATATGTACAATTATACAAGGTATAGTAGCTTTTGTCAGAAAGGAGAAAATACACCTTTAAACGGCATTTACATTAGAACTTTTTGCAGTGTTAACCTACCTTATGATAATTTATTTGACAAATAAGCAAAGGAATTTACAATTGAAAACCACTGGGTTAACTAAATCCGGTACAATGTAAACGTACTATTACCTCGTTATGTTCATTTGATATATTTTTAACATTGTACCAAATCGAATCGAGTTGGTGATATTATTTACATGTTGTTTCATTTACAAATCATACATTTCTTCTTACAAATGTTGTAAAATTCATTCAAGATCTGTTATCAAGGTCACCCAGGTAGCAGTCGAAATCGAAAAACAGCTGTTTTTCTCAAGTCTAATGTCTTTGTTTACTTTTTCAGAAATTTAAATTTTGGAAAAAAACATATTTTTTTGTTCACTTTGGTATTTTATTCCCTTGTTTTAAAGAAAATGAATATCAAATGATGTTCGGTGCGGAAAAGACTGACTAGTGATGCCATATTTACATATAATTTGTTTTTTTCGCGAAATTTGTTTTTCTCAAGTCTAATGTCAAAAATGTCCACTTTGTTTAGGTTTTCATAATGTAAGTAAATTCACAATAATGCACTTTGACAGCAGATATCCAGCTGGTCTCCCTGGGTGACCTTGTTTTTAGGCCATGATGGAAGTCAATTCACAATAATGTATTTTGACAACAAACTTGAGTGGCGCAGATAAACAGCTGGTCTCCCTGGGTGACTTTTGGTCTGTTCCCGTACTACAAGAATCTACTATTTTTTACTTCGATAACACTTTTTTCCTTTATGATATCGAAGAAAATAGCAGACCATTTATTTATAGGCCATGCTTGAGCTACTTCATAGATTTGTCTACTATTTATCGACAATACAGTCGAGTACGGTTATAGCGAACTCGTTATGGAAGAAGTTCGTTATATACAAGGTAAATATTTAGTTAAAAATTACTAGGCTTTGTATCATTTTTGACAATTCTTAAAATTGTTATCCTTTTCCATGGCATAACTATACAAGATAGTCTTATTTGAGAAATTGATAATGGCAACCGTACATTGCAAATTTTCCACAAATAAAAATAAATATTTTATTCTAAAGCTCCGCATTGTTCTCAAGATTTAACTAAGAATGTTGTAATTTATTGGTCTGTTGCCGTACTGCAAGAATCTACTACTTTTCACTACGATAAGGGAACATACCATATTTATAGGTTTTTATAGGCAGGAAACTTAAAAATATTAATAAATATAAATCATTAAAAAATTTTAGCCACTGAACACCAGATTTTCGTACATTTCAAAGGAAGATATTTTCATTTAAATTTTGTAAGCTGAATGTAGTCAAAAGCAAATTTATGAAAAAGTTGGAAACGTATGAATGCATAAGACTACCTTGTATAGTTATGTCATGGTATTATTTTACACAAGTTTCGTCCGATATCACACCAAATGTTTTCTGAATTTTGTACAAAAAAAAAAAAAAAAAAAACTGTGTAAAGTTTTGTAAAAGTATTGGTACACTTACCCTGATGTAACGGAAAAAGGGTCAATTCCAGTTACTTACCCTCATCAAAATGTCATATACATGTAGCTAAATTGTATAATTATACCATTAATATATATGACAGATAGAGGGCATGTATTTTATAGATGACATCCAGTTAAAATGGACGAGTGCCCTCTAAAAAAGTGGACGTATGGCCACCTGATTTATTTCCACTTTCAAAAAGATATTTGTGTTGACTATAAAATATATATCCTTTACCCACTGAAGTTTGCGATGTGTAAGAAAAAATGTATCGCATCGCGCAATTGATACTCTCTAATACGTTTTCGTATCTCCTTTCGCATAACCACCTTGTCCAAGCAATTTCAAAACAGCGGTCACTTTTATTGGAGTTAGAATTGCTGCGATAATACATACAGAAACGTAGATTTTTGAGACGACAATTTTATATAAATCTATAAAAATTAAATATTTGAAAACGTTCAATCGTTCGATCTCTTTTTTTTTAATTCGTTCATCCTCATTCTAACCATAACGCCACCGAATCCATAAATATTTATTTTTTAAAAAAGCACTCATACCAAAGATGTTTTTATTTGCAATATTTTGTCGTTTTCTCTTGTCATTTTTAGTTTTTGTTTACTTTGTGGTGCCGCATTTAGCTTTCGCATCGCACTTGCTTTCGAAACGCAATACAGAATAACCCCCCCAGTGCTAGAAAACAACCGTCGCACGCTTCTGTCTTAAGTCTTTTGTTTTTTTTTTTTTTTATAAGAAATTAAAAAAGTACCAACTTGGGTCTATGCAAAATAAATTTAAAACAATCAGAAATAAAATTTTAATTTTTCTCATTTTCAATTTCATTGTTAACATTTTTCTCTTTATTGTTGTATTTTTTATATTATTCTGTTGTTGTTTTAATTAAATTATCATTTGCTTGCAAAACTAAATACTTAGTAGATTTGTTTTTGTTTTGTTCTTTTTGTATTCCTTTCTTTCTGTTTAGTATAATTTTTGTTTGTTGTTAGCATTTCTTTGTCTCTTTTTCTCATAGTTTTTTGTTTTCGTTTAATGTTAGTAGCGATTTTTGTTTGTTTTGTTTTTTTTTTTTTATAAATCCTTGATTAAATGCTAATTAATGCGTGTGTTTTGTTTTTGTTTGTATGTGAACATTTTCAAAAAAAATTTTAGTTGTTTTTTTATTCGGATGTAAATATATTGAAACGTTAGCCAAGTGGATGTGTGTATTTTCGCATTTATTTTATAGAAAGCCACATGTGATGAAAAGCCACGGGAAATTTAAAATAATTCAAATAAGAACAAGATATTCATCCCCTGTTATAACAATGAATGGTATGGGAAATCACTTTAGCAATAAAATTCACATTTCCCAATTTATAAAAGTTTTATATAATGAGTATAAAGACTGAAAAAACATAGTGTCCCTATATGATTTAGGAAAGTCCTATGGGTTCCACCACGTCAAGCATTCTCAGTAAAAAATTGTAACAATTTGTAGTCGTATGACAAAATACGTAATCCTATTTCATAATTATTTCCCATATAGGCGGCTGATGAATAAATGTTTTGAAGACTACCTCCACTTTCTAGAAACTCTTTGCAAAGTTGCATTTGAATTGAAGGGGGTTTGTCTGTTATTCCCCATGTAGACTCTTCAGCCTATGTGTTTCCTCTCATATTCAATTTTGCAATATCTTTTCTTATTTATGTTGTTATGTGTTTTCCTTTTCAATATGTATGTATATATTATATGTATGTGTATGTAATATTAAGTATTTGTTTTACATTTTAGTTTTTTTTATCGTTTTTTTTTTAATTTGTAGTAATTTCCAATAATATTTACATAACTAATTATAAAGGCTGGACAAATAATAATGTGCAAACTAAATTCAATTATTATAATGTATATAATAAATATTTATAAATATATGCCTAAATAAATTTATGTATATATATATTCTTTTGTTGTTCCATCATTCAAATTTAATATAAATTATATAATACTTATACGAAAACAAATCTTTTCGGTTTTTTATGTTGTTTAATTGGAGCATTTGAAGATACACAAAGTTAAAGTTAAGTAGCTTTCTTTATTTTTAAAAATTTTTGAGAGGGGCCAAACCTGCAAAAAATAATAATAATAATAAAAAAAAAATTAAAAAACCAAAAGTCACGTGGTCCCTTAAATAAAAATAATCCATGATGAATATCGTTCATTTACAAATGAATTTCAATAGAAGACATATAAAAACCGTGGGAAATATCCCAGTAGAATATTTGAAAATATCCGCCACAAAGTCCATAGTCTACCAAAACTTATACGATAAAGAGGACAAAAGAAAAGTAAAAAAAATATTTTAAAATGTTAATATTTTTATCAGCGGTCCTTTTAGATCAGACCTCAAAACTCAAGAGTCTGCTATTTATAGAAAACCTAAAGCCTTTTCCTAAAGGATCTCCTATTTATAGAATAACTGAAATAGCTCTCTACTAAATAATTTAAATTTTTAGGAATATTTTTCAAGGCCCTCGGAATGCGTGGAAATTTAAAGAATATTTTTCAAGGCGTATATTTTTTAAGGAATATTTTTCAAGGCCTTCCAGAAGGCGTGGATTTTTTAAGGAATATTTTTCAAGGCCTTCCAGAAGGCGTGGATTTTTTAAAGAATATTTTTCAAGGCCTTCCAGAAGGCGTGGATTTTTTAAAGAATATTTTTCAAGGCCTTTCAGAAGGCGTGTATTTTTTAAAGAATATTTTCTAGGCCTTCCAGAAGGCGTAAATTTTTTAAAGAATATTTTTCAAGGCCTTTCAGAATTTGTTGATTTTTTAAAGGATATTTTTCAAGGCCTTCCAGAATTTGTTGATTTTTTAAAGAATATTTTTCAAGGCCTTCAGAAGGCGTGATAAGAATATTTTTTAAGGCCTTCAGAAGGCGAGGATAATAAGCTTTAAATTAAATAGGGTTCATTTCAAAACTCTTGAGATGAATTTTTTAAATGTTTCTAATGAATATCGTCCTTGTTGCAGATCGAATCTCGCCTTTGTTGCAGACATTCGCTAGAGAGAAATCTGACCTATTAAATTACCCAAATATAGTATATTTAAACAAAAATAACAATTTAATCTAGGAACGAAATGACTATATTTTATTTATAAAAAAATATGATCAAATATTTTCCTGTTTGTTTTGTGGACATTAAATTACATCTGAAAATGTGTTGTGTCGTGCAGAAATAATATTTGTAATTGAAAGAGAACATATTTAGAAAAATAAAGAACAAACAACGATTCAATCGATCAATCACGAAGCTCTATGGTTAGACCAATCCCAGACTTATTCATTTTTTTGTATTCATGCACTTTGTATTTAGTTTTAAACCAACTGTTTTCTACCATTCCTTATATTTTTACCATTTGTAATAATAATTTGTTATGAATTTTATATATGTATGTATGGGTGTTAGTAAATTAAAAAAAAAGAACTTACAAATAAAAAACTTACAAAAAATATGCAAACAGAAAAAGAACGAAATAAAAATCACAAATGTTTAATTTTGTTTGTTTTTTGGATTTGTTTATTTATTTTTTGTTTGTTTTGTATTATCATTTAAATGTATTCTTATTATTTCTTTATTATTGTTGTTGTGTTTTTTTTTTCTTTTCATATGAATGAAGATTTTTTTTGTTTTTCTGAGGGGAAGAGAGGATAGTAAATAAGCGGTAAGGATATATTTTTTTGTTTTATTTATTTTTCATCTTCTTTTCTTTTTGTTTTCCTTTCCAATATTTATAATAATAATTTGTTTTTTGTTGCTTTGTTTGGTTTTGTTTTGTTTCCAGTAATTTGTTTTATGTTATGTTATTTTATTTTTTTTCTTGTTATTATTATTTTAACATTACAAAAAAACTAAGCGTTTGTTTTTTTCTTTCTTTCAAAAAAGAAACGCTTATTATTATGCTTAATGTTTATTTTTAATTTTTTTGTTTGTTTTCTTTTTCACTTGAGTTTTATATAAAATTAAAGTATTTCCTATAAAAACAAAAATATTTAAGAGTACGTTGTTGTATGTTTTTTGTTTTGTTGTTCTTGTTTTTTTAGAAAAAGGCATTGTTTTTTGTTTTTGACACTATGGCATATGTTTTTTTAATAATAATATAATAATAAAAATAATTATAGAATAGACAATGAGATATATAGAGTGGATGAAGGGGATAAGGGAGAGAGTGAGAGATAGTGATAGTGATAGGGAGGGAGGAAGGTATTTAATGAATATTTATAAAGCTTTATTTGTATAGTTTGGAAAAAAACAATATTTTTGGAAATTTATAAAGACCTTAGGGAAGGAGTGGGTGGAAGAAATCAAAATCAACTTAAAAGAAACAAAATTTAACAACAAAATAATCAAGATGGGTGAGAGAGAAAAAATTATATATAACTTAACATTTTTGTGTGTTGGTGATGGAGGGGGAATAGAACGACGAACAGAAGAAAAACACTTTTAGTATTGATGCAATAGAAAAATATTCATTTTTTTTAAATATAATAAGAATAATTTTTTGTTATCTTTTCAATTTTCTTTTGTTCCGTTAAGAAATCTAAGAATAGAAAGGCTTTTCTTGTTGTTGATTTTTAGTGTTTGTGATTTTTTTGTTTGTTTTACTTTTCAGTTTTTGTTTTCTTTCTTTAATTTTTTCTGAAGGAGGAAAGAGTTATTTTGTTTTTTGTAATAGAAGTAGTGGTAGTAATAGTAGTAGTAATAATAATAAATGAATGTAGGCTAGAATTTATCCTGAAATATGAACAAATTATTGGTGGCTGCCACAGCGATTATATTCTCTTGCGGATGCCAAGCGGTGTGTAGAATTTTCTTATTGAAATCTAAACAATCAACACTGATTTCATCTTTTTTTCGTTTGCCACCAGTGCAAACTTTACGTGGCTTTAGCACCGTCTTCGGTTTTATAATGTCTCTGGAGGCCTCTAGGGTAACGTCTTTTTTCGTATTACGATCAAATACACGGAAAAAGTTATTATAACTGCCGGTCATTATTGAGGTATCTTTGCCATTCCAACAACATTCGAATTTATCGAAAATGCAATCGTTCTCATACAAAGAACATAGCTTAGCCCGCAAATATTCGTGGACCTGAAATGAAGAAAAGTAAATAACAAATGAAATTAAAAATTGCCAAGACAAGGTGAGTGAGAACAATTATAGAGGAAAAGAAAAGGGGGATTTATTCTTTAAATATAAGTTATCAAGGTTCTTACAAAGAGATCCTAGAGGGCCAAGTGCAAATAGGAGAAATCAAAGGTCTTCTTTGATTAGAAAAACTCAAGCATTTTATATCAATAGAACACTTCAATGGTATTCAATTGAAGTACTCAAGAATTTTCTATACATATAAACTCTCAAGAATCTCTTACCTATAGAAGACCTCGAGAACCTTCTATCAACAGAAGATATCAATGATCCTTAAAATCAATATAATAACACAGGGGGTTCATTAAAGGGATTTTAATCTAAAAACTCACCATATTGTATTCTATGTATATAGAAATAAAGAGTGTTCTGTAAAAAATAGGGTCCTATTGAAAAGCTCCAGGATTTATAGAAACCTCAATTTTCTTCTATCAACATAACACCTCTAGAGTCTTCTATTTGTAGAGGACCTCAATTGCAAAGACTACAAGGCTTTTACATTTTCAGAGGATCCAGGTTCTTTTGCCAATAGGTTTTCTGTCAATAGAAACTTCCAAGTGTCTTCTGGTAATAGAAACCCCCAAATATTCTATTGTCAAAGGGAAACCCTAAATATCTTCTTTCAATAAAAAAATTAAAGGTCTTCTTCAACAGAAAGCTTTAAGCGTATTTTGTCAATAGAAGATCATAATCTTCTTCTGTCATCTCATGCTCTTCCTCTTAGAGTTCGATTTCGGAAGAAATTACTTCAAATCTATGGAGTGCCTTCTGGTTATAGAAACCCCTAAATACTCTATTGCCAATAGGAAACCCTAAGGATCTTCTTTGAATAAAAAAATATAGGTCTTCTTCAATACAAGACCTTAAGCGTATTTAGTCAATAGAAGACCCTATTTCTTCTTGTTTCAATAGAAGGCCTTAAGGGTTTTTTGTCAATAGAAGATCATAATCTTCTACTGTTATTTCGTGCTCTTCCTTTTAGTGCTCGATTTGCTGAAGAAAGTACTTCAAATCTATACACCTCTAGTTATATTTTCTATTACTCTAGTCCTTCTTCTCAATTTTAAGCAGAACCTCATTATCCTTAAGGGGGTTTTTTTTGTCAATAGAAGATCTCAATTTTTTCTGTCATCTCTTGTTCTTCCTCTAGACATCTAGTTAAGTTATATTTTCTATTACTCTAGTCCTTCTTCTTCTTTATTTTAATCAGAACCTCATTATCCTCCTTAATGTAAAAAATATATAATTTTTAATAAACTTACCGGATACGTTTCAATGGGCTTTGTCTCCATATGCAAATCCCATACTTTAATACTCAAATAATCTCTTGAGATCATATAACGACCTGAATTACTTAATTTCACATCGCTTATTGAACTAATGATCTCGCTAAAGAAACTACGATTTGTTGGATTCTCGGGCTCTTCGAATTGTTTACTGTGCCGATCGCACAATGCCGACGAACGCATATCGCACAAACGTATTGTCCCCTTTGAACTTGAGTACACAAAGACATTGCACTCGGTTGGATGGAATTCAGCTGCTGTTATCACCTCGGTCAATTCTTCCATATTTGTCGGCTTGATGTCGACAATATTGAAACTTTGATCGGTAACTTCCAAATGCCACAGATTAATTCGTAAATCATCTGCCGATAAATAAGTCTCTTGATCTGAATTAACACTAATCGAATTGATGTGATAGGTGTGGGCGTTGGCAAAAATGCGTCTGGGTGATGCTTCGACCATAAGAGGGATTTGTTTAACAGAAGGAACTCGTAAGGCGGTAATATTTTGTGGATCCTTTGTTAGGCCATTTTCCTCTTTCGTGTTATAGCCTTCGAAGGATTTGTCGCGCTCGCTGACTTTCCACAATTTAACCGTTTTGTCATTGGTCGAAAGCAGGAAGTGTGCAGGATTTTTTCTTCTTAACCATCGAATTTTATTGATTTTCTCTTCAATTTCTAATGATTTGAGATAATCGAATTCGGGTTCATGCGATTGGAATGTCGAATAGACATTATATTCACCACGTCGTGGATTTGCCGTTTTCGATGCAGGATCACGCTGTAAATGAGAAGAAATTGTAGGACATTGAGAACATTTGGGAGAACATTTTGATTTAGCTTACCTGGAAAATAACGACACGTCCACCCTTATCACCAGTTGCCAGCAACTCACCATCGTGATTAAATTCAACGCAGGATATGATATCTGCATCAGTTACATCATCATCTAAGGCTCCTTTTATTTGTGAGAAGCACCAACTAGCTTCTCCATTACCTGAAATAAAACCAAGAGTAAAAAAATGGAAAATTATTAGGAAATTTGAAATAAAGAGGCGGCAAGTGAGAAACACATTGTAAAATTATTGGGTCTTTAAATGACCAATTCGTTTTCGAATTTAAATTGAACTAATTTTGTATGGAGATAAATCAATAATTTAAACAAAATTTGGCGAATCTTTATTGTTTTGATCATCGAAGGTTGCAGCTCTTATTTCGTACGAAATTTAACGGAAATCTATACGAAATCTTACATTGAAAATCGATGAAAAAACGAAATTCATTTCATATTCATTCATTTATTTTAAAGCTATGCGACACAATGTTCGATTGTTTGTACATCCCCAAGACCCCCCAAAAAGAAAATTGTAACTAAAAAAACGATATATCTTCCATCATTACATCAATTCAAACAAATCACTTTCAATAAATGTTACTTTGTAAACAACTAAAAGACAGACACAGTTGTCATGTGTCGTTCGCCGGTGTTGCCGCACATGGTCACACTTATCACAAATGACCTCAATTGATAGGAAGAGGCTACACTTAACTTTGATTGAGAGGTTAAATACAAGGATTTATTTTCTTTTAGAATAGATGCAAAAAAATTCAAATAGCAAAGAAATTAATAGCCTTCTAGATGACCTTATTATTTATCCGTATGAAAGGAGCGTCAGATTTTTATATCCTCCACCAATATAAAGTAAAAAAAAAAATTAAAAATGCCAGTGGAGTTAATTTTAAAACTGATAAATAGTTGAAAATCAACAACATCCATAAGAGACATGCATTTTGTTTTTAATATTTTTCAAGCATAATAAGATGCGATTTTTAGAAAAATTGTACCAACATTCGCCGAGATTAAAGATTTTTTTAGGATTTTTTCCAAGCATCCACAGCGAAGGCTTTTTAACAATATTTTATTGAGCATCCAGAAGAGGCGTCGATTTTTTTTTTTTTGGAATACTTTTTCTAACCGTAGACATTATCATCCCCAAGAAAGGCGTTGAGTGAATCTTTTAAGAAAATTTTTCGGACATCCGGAAGAGACGAGGATTTTAAGAACATTTTTGAACCATCCAGAAGAGGATTGGATTTTTTAAGAGCAATGTTTTTAAGCGTTGAAGAAGATACCCCAGAACCAATAAGTGATGATAGTGTATACCACCTATTCAAGATGAGGTCATAAAAGCAATTAATCGGGTCAAGAACAATAAAACAACAGGAGCCGATGGGTTACCAGCCGAACTATTCAAGACTGGTGGTCAGATGCTGGTCATGCTAGAATAATGAATGCCCAACGATTGGAACCTCAACATCCTGTGTCTCGTGCACAAAAAAAGAAATAAGATTATATGTGCCAACTATAGAGGAATTAGCTCCCTTCTCATCGCATATAAGTGCTATCCAGTGTGCTGTGTAAACGACGGAAGCCAATGGTCAATGACATTATTGCACCATACCAATGCGGCTTCAGGCGTGGTATTCCATTGATTTTCACTCGCCAAATCCTGGAGAAGACCCACGAAAAACACATCGACACATACCACCTATTCGTCGACTATAAAGCCGCCTTCGACAGCCCTATCCGTTCAGAGGTGTTTAAAGCGTTCGGCATTCCTGCAAAATTAATACGGCTATGCAGGATAACATTAACTGACACAAGGTCAACAGTTAAAGTCGGGAAGGACCTATCGGAGTCCTTCAATACCGAACGAGGATTCATACAAGGTGACAGTTTGTCGTGTGACCTTTTTAACATCCTGCTGGAAAAGGTCATAAGAGATGCAAATGTGAACAGAAATGCCACTCTGTACTCCAAACAACACATGTCACTCGCTTACGCCGATGACATCGATATAATGGGTCGAACATTGCGAGCGGTAACAGACACCTTTGAACAAATTGAGAAGGAGTCTGGCAGTAAACGCCGTTTTTTGACTGACGTATTAAATATAATATATAACAAAAACTCCTAATATTTGTGTGTCTGTGTGTGTGTGTAAAATATTGAACCATGGCGTCGTTTGTTTGAGGACACAATGTACAAATAAAGAAATCTATGACGTCTGAATAAAAACCCCCCAAAAAAATAATAAATTCGAAAAAAGAACCTGCCAGAAAGGAGTCTGGCAAAGTGGGTCTGGCAGTAAACGGCGAGAAGACCATGCTGACGGTATCAACGCGCAAGACGTCCAGTAGACTCGGACCAACTGTGAAACTTGAGAGCTACAGCTTCGAGGTAGTTAAAGATTTTATATATATATATATATAGAAACAAGGCCACCTACCGCCAGACCAAACTCACACTTTACAAGACGCTGATACTACTCGTGCTGTTATATGGATCTGCGCAAGCAGATGAGGCAGCTCCTGGGGTGTTTGAATGAAAAATTATCCGAAAGATTTACGTCCATGTTGTGCGAATGAATGAGAATGCCCCAGCTCAAATGGCATTTAAAAGCGAGCCTACTGATGATTCCCGTAGAAGGAGGTCACGAATCAAATGGAAATACCAAATAGAAAACAATATCTTGTTGTGGTTTTTGAACGCTTCTGCAGCGAAGAAAATCGTTGACCACGTCTTTTATTTTTGATGTACGGGAAAAGAAGGAGGTCATTGGTTGTCTTTTAAAGACTGTATGTCGGCATACTCATCAATTCCAAAAAAGGCTAATTATTTTTCTTCTCATGTTCTTTTTCGCCGAAGACGAAGCCCCTACGCATAGATTCATAATTCGTCACCTGAAAGGATTTTATAAATGTCTCGTATTTCGTATTTTTTTCAAAATTTCTTGGCGCCAATTAAAACTGGCCTTTTTTGAGCCAATGTCAAATTTTGATGGGTCTAACGAGAGTAAACATGTTTACGGTGCCGAAGGATGCCTCTGACTCACAATGTGATACAGCGGCCGTTTTTTGGATCGGTCAGTGTACGTGTGATGTTCCTTCCACTCGCTGTTCCTCTTCTTGGGAGCATAGGGCTTCCCAAAAGCTCTGCCATCTTTCTCGGTTAGTTGTCGTTGTTTTTGCATCTTCCAATGTTCGGTTATTTTGTCTTAGTTCTTGGATTATTGTTCGCCGCCTAGTGTTTCTTGGTCGATCTCGATTTCTTCAGGATTCCATTCAAGCGTCATTCTGTTGGCTGACGAATTTTTTGATGATCACGTTTTATTTAACCTCGACCGCTTTTTATATAATACATGGCCTCAAACGACTTACTTAGCTGGCTTGTGACAGAAATTTCCTTCCATAAGACGAGCTTAAAAAAATATTTCCAGGCGCGTCGGTCTTTTGCGCGGTTTTCCTAATTTGAAAGGCCATATTCGGCAATGTTGTCTTCCACTTGATCTTTCCATCTTATTCGTGGCCTTCCCCTTCAGCATGAAACATCAGCTGGTTCGCTTGTATACGCCTTTTGGGCTGAGGCATCTTCATCCATTCACACAACATGACCTAGCCAAGGTTGTCGCTGCAGCTCAATACGTCTAACAATTTTTCTCTCAAACACTCCAAGAGCTGTCTCATCTGTTGCGTAAGTAGCCATGCTTCAGATCCGTATAACAGAGCACGGGAAGTATATCAGCGACTTGTAGAGTGTGAGTTTGGTCTGGCGGGAGGTGGCCTTGTTTTTGAGATGCTTGCACAGACCATAGTAGCATATATTGGTCAACACTATACTTCTCCGAATTTCAAAACTGATGTCATTAGTTTTATTTATGACGGTACCAAGGTATATTTAAATCTTTCACTACCTCAAACGACACAATATTTCTAATAGTTACGAATGGATTCCCAAACATAAGATTGTCTCCATCCATATGATGGAGGTGTATAGTAAAATCTGTTACTACAACAATGTGTAAAGGAAACCCAAAAAAAAAATCCTAAAGTAACAGAAAATCAGTATCAAATTGTAACACCATGAAGATTTTGTTGTTGACCCGATATATCATCCTCGTTTTTTGACTGACGTATTAAATATAATATATACCAAAAACTCCTAATATTTGTGTGGCTGTGTGTGTGTAAAATATTGAACCATGGCGTCGTTTGTTTGAGGACACAATGTACAAATATAAAAATCTATGACGTCTGAATAAAACCCCCCCAAAAAAATAATAAATTCGAAAAAAGAACCGTCTTTTCTTTTTTTGGGGGGAGATTAACCCACTCTTGGTCTCCAGCAGCGGATATAGAAGAGACGAAGAACACACAAAACGTCAAGCAACAATGACACTTTTTTTGCGAAAAACTATTTGCTAAACTAAAAAGAAGAAGTAGCACTTTTTACTCACAGCAGATAAATCCCTGCACGGCACTGAGTGAGTGTTTGTCTGCCGGATTGTTTGATGGTACTTTTGTGAGTTTGCCTTGTGACGATGACGACTACGACTGACTGACTGGAAAAGGCCAAACAAAGTGGAATGCTGCTCATCGCACATCACCAGCTTTACCAACTACTACTTCAAATATATGTATATGACTGACTGTTTCTGTCTGGTGACCTCATTGGTTTGCCACTACACCACACATAAGTACGTTGTACTAATATTAGTACAGAAAAAAAATTATGTTTTGTTGTTTTACATGACGTTACATGTAAATGTGATCCTGGCACAATAAAACTCTTAGTTACAGCGCATCGGTTGTATGGAATACAACACCAAATATTTAATATAATTATGCAGGTGTGGTTAGTGGTGATGGGGGTTTTCTTGGAAGGTTTGATAACAAATTAAAATATGTTTTTTCAAGTCACGATCTCCTTATGTTGATGTAGGAAAAAAGGAGTGTAGAGGAACAAAAGAGAAATCTAATAGGACTATAAAATTTCATAGGAAACAAGTCGGATTTGTTCAACCACAGGTCATACAATGGCTTTATAATTCAATTCTATTCCATCTTTTAATAAGTGCGGGATCAGGTGCTTGGCAAAATAACAATTTGGACCCAAATAAGACTAAAGGCGGCTCTTATATGCATGCCCAATGATTG